TTTAAATATCTGCGATCTAAGATCAAGCGACGCGGTAGCATCGCGACGCCAAGTATATATAAAAATTCGTTCTAGCTTGTCAACGGTTTGCCTATGTGAACAGACTTTAATGGAGAATAGCCTGTAAAGAAGATCTGGTTGCTGATATTTAAGAATATTGAAAAGAAGACAGGCAACGAGGTACTCCCTTCTTTTGTCAACCTTGAGCCAGCGGAGCCTTGTATAGTATGGCGAGATGTGTTCATCGATCTTGATACAAAAGATAAACCTCATACATGCGTTCATGGCTCGATATAATTTCAGATTAAGTTCAGCAGTGATGTCAGTAAGTATGGCGCAACAATAGTCAATGTGCGGATAGATGAGAGAGACAACAAGTTTTATTTTTAGTGTATCAGGAATAAGATGTCTGCATAGCTTGAGCTGGTGTAGCGTAGAGCGAACCTTGTTCGTGATGTGCGATACTTGCAGATCCCAAGATAGGTTGTTCGCAATCCAAACTCCTAGGTACTTTACATGAGCAGAATATGCCACATCGACTCCAGCAACAGTAATTTTTGGAACTGAAGTTAGATCAATTGCGTTTATGTATCTTGACGTACCCATAATAATTGATTGCGTTTTATTCGCATTTAGTAACAGTTTGTTTGAAGTGGCCCACGTGAGAATTGAGATGATGTCACTATTTACTCTGTTAACGGTATCGGCTAGGTCTTGAGGTTTACAGTGATGGTAGATTTGCAGATCGTCAGCATATAGATTGTATTCACAGTGTCGCAGCGTGTGTCTAAAATCTGACAGATAAAGTGTGAACAAGAGAGGTCCAAGCACCGAGCCCTGTGGTACGCCCATCCTGACCAAGGTCGGAGGGGTCAGATAATCGTTGACCCTGTCACGAACGGCCTGAGATCTTCCAGTGAGATATGAATAAATCCATCTGAGCACGGTTTCCGAGAAATTGAGGCTCTTCAACTTCTCAATCAGCGTGACATGCTGTACCCGGTCGAACGCCTTGGAGAGGTCAAAGAAAACGGATATAGTGACCATCCTGTTGTCTGCAGCTTGTCTGACCTCATCAAGCATCCTGATGAGACATGTCTGCGTTGAGTTATGCTGTCGATAGGCTGATTGACGGGGATCAAGAAGATTGTGATCAGACAGATAGAGACAGATCTGATCGCAGATCACTCTTTCAAGCGTCTTGGACATAGCAGGCAATATGGAGATTGACCTATAGTGCTGCACTTCGATTGGGTTTCTAATTTTATGTATTGGACAGACAAGCGCCATCTTCCACCATTCAGGGAAAGTACCCCTTGAAAGAGAAAAGTTAAAAAGATGTTCAATTACCGGCATAATGCAAGGCAGAGCAAGTTTGATCATTTTGAGAGAGATTCCGTCATTTCCAATAGCGCCAAACCCATTACCGTGAAAGATCCTCCTGATAGTAAGAGAGCTGACCATATTCCTTCACCTTGGTCAGATCGTCAACGATACACAAGTCAAGGAGAGTGCTTGAATTCTTCAGATGATGCGTGGCCTAGTATGGCACGAGGAAGAGGCTGGACGATAAAACGAAAGTTTTTATGGAACGGCTGTCATAAGTGCTCATATCACTTAATATGGCGGAGGCACGATGATCACGCCATAAGCATGGTCCTGATACATGGGTAAGGCACTCTGAGTAAGAGATGTGAAATATAGTGCATAGCTGTTGATTAACAACCAATACAGTGTCACCGCATTAATGAATAATAGAAAATAATTAAGAGTTAAAACTTAACATGGTTATATTTTATTGGGTATGGCCGGTTAGGCGGCAATATGTAGTGTTGCCACCTTGAGATGTCCTTATGTGTCAGGACTGTGTATTTGTGTATCTGTAGGGATTAGATTTTGAAAGATAGATTCTGTATCTAGAATCTAAAGCTTTGTGATTGGCTGTCTGTGGACGGTTGGTCGGTGCCACAAGCCGACCGAAAATGGCGGCATCCGGACAGCTATGACTGCGCATTCTGGTCTACGTATTAATGTAGATAATTCTAACTGACCTAGTTAATGATAATACTGATGCACAGTAGTGTGATAATAAGAGATCTAAAGTTCTACAAGTATATAGAATCTAAGCTTTGTGATTGGCTGTCTGTGGTCGGTTGGTCGGTTGGCCATGCCACCAGCCGACCAAAAATGGCGGCATCCCAACTGGTATGACTGCGCATTCTGGCCTGCGCATTAATGTGGACAATCCTAATTGACCAATTTAATGTTAATACTGGTGTACAGTAGTGTGATAATAAGAGAACTAGAGATGCTGCAGGCATGTAGAATCTAAAGCTTTGTGATTGGCTATCTGTGGACGGCTGGTTGGTGCCACCGACCGACCAAAAATGGCGGCATCCGGACAGTCATGACCGCGCATTTGGCCTGCGCATTGATGTAGATAATCCTGACTGACCAATTTAATGTAAATATTAATGCACAGTAGTGTGATAATAATAGATCTAGAGCTTATGAATGATACGCGTGGATATAATTATTATACATATGTATGGATTCCGCATAGTCCGGTATAAGCTGGATAAACTTACACATAAACTTATATATAATTATAATTAGTGTTTGTATCGTGATCAGGCATTGGTCTGAATCTAATGTAGAGCTGAAGATTATGTCCCCGTATAGTATCCTATGACGTAATCTAGGTATTAGTAGAAGGGCGAAAATATCAAATCAATAATTTATTTACAATATGGATCTAAAATACGTAAAGGATAATAAAAAAGTACCAGCGCAGGGATGTTCGGATCACCCAGGGCTCGGCGGGTGGGGGCCTATGGTCCCTGGACTCCCCTCGTCGTCAGCAAGAGAAGGGCCCCAGGAGGAAAACAGCAAGCCTTCCTTCGAATTGGACGATAATATTTTGATGCAAACAGCCAATAGCAATGAAGTGAGGGATTACGGAAAATTAATCGAAGTGCTAATGGAGCTCCTAAAGGTAATTCCTCCTTCACTCAGAGCCAAACTGCAATCGGCTGTGGATATGATCCTCAATTTTTTCGGTGAGCTGTACCGCACAGTGGCTAAATTGGAGAATGATAGAAAACATATCCTAAGTAAAGCCAACGCACAGAAAGACAGGATCCGAGATCTGCAATAAGAACTAGATGCTCTTCGTGAGTTATTCCTGAAAATAGAATGGTTGGACCATCCAAAAGATATGAAGATTGGAAAGAACCCCGCACTAATCATATGGAAAATCTGTCCCGGTCAAATCAATTGGTTTTTACATATGTTGTAGCTTATGACCTACTGAACAAAAGATGTAATGGGCACAAAGCTCAATAATGGACAGTTATCGAGTTATAACCAATCAAACATGAAAAATTCGGACTGCCGAATAGTCAAATCTCGGAAGATATTGATTTTTTTGAAAAATGTTTGAAACAAACACACACACACATAGTAGGGTTTTACAAAATCTGTTAGTTGGTGACATTATTTGTGAATTTTGAATGACCTTGAAAAGCTCCGTGAACAAAAATCTTCCACAAAAATGCCTATTTTTTATTATATTCGTGTAGCTAAATTCGAGACGTTTTCAAAATATTTTTGATGAACCTTTTTTCTACTAAAACTTCTTGAGAAATAATATACACGATTTACCATCTCTGATTATGAGCGTAGAATTATGTGTAGAGCGCTCGATTCGTACAGCTAGAGCCGTCAGGCGACTCATCCCCACTGCTACACTGCGGGCGGTATACTGTATACTCTATCTGCAATCTGTGAGAAATCATATTGGTTGATATTGCTAGCGCAGGCATTGTCATCACTAAGCGTATCTATTCTAGCGTTATTGCTGCCGAATGCTATTACTTTCTGGCATTACTACGTCCGATATTGATATTATTGATATCAGTGTATTCTGTTCATTTATGTCTAAGGAATTATTTCACCAGAAAAGTTTTTAATATCTAATCAATCTGATATTGCTACGCAATTCGATAATAAAGTATTATCATGGCTTACAGACATGGAATCCATTGTTATGTTTGCGATCGTGCTTTTCAAGCTCGACAAATGGTACGAATCAATGGCGATAATGATGCAATTAAAAAACAAATCGCTGTTTTTAGGCGAACTGGGCTGGGTAAGGAGCCCATTGATATAGACAATGAAAGCCGATTATGTTTTAATTGCAATGTATCTATTGTACATGAAATAGAACAGATAGAACTTGATCCGACTTGCCTACGACTCAACGTTATTACCCAAACCCGAAATAATTCTTGTTTATTTTGCAATGCTATTGTAAATATTAGACCACTGTCGTTAGAATCCAGGGTAAATGTCTTTGTTCTGAAAAATATTTATATTCCTGAACACGTTTATTGTTGTGACCAACATTTGGATGATCGCGGATTTATTTTACAGTTACTGCTGCCAGGTTTGCGATTTATTTATAGACCATATGTAATAAAAGGTCAGCAACTGCAAGTTTTCTTAGAAGCTCTTCGTAATATAGCAAATAATAATAATCGTTATGAAAACGAAAATAGTTTTACAGAGGATGAATTTAAATGTATAGCACCCATTACAAAACAACAGTTTCAAGAATTGTATACATATTGCGATCCTATATTCCAAAAACGTGGTATCAGAAACGTTACTAAAAAAGATCTTTTAATTTTTTTATGCAAGCTGCGACAAGGACTGTCTGACGAATTTCTTAAAGTACTGTTTCAGTATTCCTCTAGACAAGCAGTGAGTTTAGCGATTTCCAAAGTTCGGCAGTCTTTAGTAAACAGATTTGTCCCTGATAATATTGGTTTTCAAGCTATAACTCGAGAAGAGTATATAATGAGACATGTAACACCTTTTGCAAACGAATTATATAATTCTGAGCTAGCTATTCCGAAAGTAATTGCTTATATTGACGGGACCTATTCTTATACTCATAAAAGTAGCAACTTTCGTGTTTTACGACAAACATAATGCAAAAAGGTCGACATCTGATAAAACCTTCTCTTATAGTTGCTCCAGATGGGTATATACTGGCTATTCAGGGTCCTTACTTTTCTGATTCTCGTAACAATGATGCTCGAATATTAAATAATGAATTTCAACGTGATGCGGACAATATGAGAGGATGGTTTCATGATGGTGACATTTTTATATTAGATCGTGGATATCGAGATGCTCAGCCATTACTTCGTGAATTAGGCATTGAGTATAAAATGCCAGCTTTTCTTGGACCTCAACAGAAACAATTATTCACTGAAGAAGCTAATGAGTCTCGATTGGTGACAAAAACAAGGTGAATAATTAAAACTAGAAATGGACATATCAAGTCTACGTTCAAGTTTTTTGATCATACAATTATAATGCCTCATCTTCATCACTTGGGCGAGTTTTATAACATTGCAGGTGCTATAATTAATAGATATCATCCTTTAGTTTTAATGGAAGAAGCTAATGCAGGATTAGCAAGAGAACTTCTTGATAAATCTAGAGAGGTTAATATTGTTCAAGCGCGAGTTGAAGTAGAAAGGATGTGCTATAGAAATGCACAATGGATACATTTACATGAAGGACAGTTACGTGACTTTCCACGCCTAACATTAGAATATTTACGAGATTTGACTATTGGTACATTTCAGGTTCGTCTAGCAAGATCTTATATTCAAGATAAGATGCAGCGTGATGCACAAGAAGAATTTCAATTGGATTCGTTGTTTGATGAACAAGGTTTCATAAGGGTGCGAGTGTTTTCACGATTCCGTAATGCTACAAAACATCAAATATTTATAGCTTACAACATAAAAGATGCAGATAATATAGATGATGAGAGGGAGGCGATTTTTGGTTATTACTGCACCTGTAAGTCAGGCGCACATGTGCACATGTAACCAGCGTATTGTGGTATTTAGGATATGCACGACACCAGCCCAATGTTCGTTATCCCTCTTCATCATTATTGAACACAATATTAGATGCCGCTCAGAGACCACCACAGCAGGATCCAAATAATGAGTAATATACAATAAGATCATTTATTTTATTACCCCACACATACACACACACACACACACATACACACACAGCAGAGAGGGTTTGGAGTCAAAAAATACTACGGGAGTGACGAACCGTGGGGTCCTTATCTCTGCTGTGACACATAAAGATTTTTGTTCACGGAGCTTTTCAAGGTCACTCAAAATTCACAAATAATGTCACCAACTAACAGATTTTGTAAAACCCTACTATGTTTGTAAAACCCTACTATGTTTGTTTCAAACATTTTTCAAAAAAATCAATACCTTCCGAGATTTGACTATTCGGCAGCCCGAATTTTTCATGTTTGACTGGTTATAACTCGATAACTGTCCATTTATATATATTGTATATACTCAAACGTTTAAATACTCGCTACATTTCTTACAATGAATAATTTCTAATGAACAATTTGTTTATTTGATAATTATATATAGAAAGCAGGAATTAATAATGATTATCTTAATTTTATCCCTGATATTTTCAGTGAATTTTACGCTATTTATAAGAGTAATTATCATCTCAATTTTTTCTTATAAGGTTTCAGATAGATCTATCCTTGCGTAACGTATATGTTTAAAGAACCCCGCACTAATCATATGGAAAATTTGTCCCGGTCAAATCAATTGGTTTTTACATATGTTGTAGCTTATGACCTACTGAACAAAAGATGTAATGGGCACAAAGCTCAATAATGGACAGTTATCGAGTTATAACCAGTCAAACATGAAAAATTCGGGCTGCCGAATAGTCAAATCTCGGAAGGTATTGATTTTTTTGGAAAATGTTTGAAACAAACATAGTAGGGTTTTACAAAATCTGTTAGTTGGTGACATTATTTGTGAATTTTGAATGACCTTGAAAAGCTCCGTGAACAAAAATCTTCCACAAAAATGCCTATTTTTTATTATATTCGTGTAGCTAAATTCGAGACGTTTTTAAAATATTTTTGATGAACCCTGTTTCTACTAAAACTTCTTGAGAACTAATATACACGATTTACCATCTCTGGTTATGAGCGTAGAGTTATGTGTAGAGCGCTCGATTCGTACAGGTAGAGCCGTCAGGCGACTCATCCCCACTGCTACACTGCGGGCGGTATATTGTATACTCTATCTGCAATCTGTGAGAAATCATATTGGTTGATATTGCTAGCGCAGGCATTGTCATCACTAAGCGTATCTATTCTAGCGTTATTGCTGCCGAATGCTATTACTTTCTGGCATTACTACGTCCGATATTGATATTATTGATATCAGTGTATTCTGTTCATTTTGGTCTCAGGAATTATTTCACCAGAAAAGTTTTTAATATCTAATCAATCTGATATTGCTACGCAATTCCATAATAAAGTATTATCATGGCTTACAGACATGGAATTAATTGTTATGTTTGCGATCGTGCTTTTCAAGCTCGACAAATGGTACGAATCAATAGCGATAATGATGCAATTAAAAAACAAATCGCTGTTTTTAGGCGAACTGGGCTGGGTAAGGAGCCCATTGATATAGACAATGAAAGCCGATTATGTTTTAATTGCAATGTATCTATTGTACATGAAATAGAACAGATAGAACTTGATCCGACTTGCCTACGACTCAACGTTATTACCCAAACCCGAAATAATTCTTGTTTATTTTGCAATGCTATTGTAAATATTAGACCACTGTCGTTAGAATCCAGGGTAAATGTCTTTGTTCTGAAAAATATTTATATTCCTGAACACGTTTATTGTTGTGACCAACATTTGGATGATCGCGGATTTATTTTACAGTTACTGCTGCCAGGTTTGCGATTTATTTATAGACCATATGTAATAAAAGGTCAGCAACTGCAAGTTTTCTTAGAAGCTCTTCGTAATATAGCAAATAATAATAATCGTTATGAAAACGAAAATAGTTTTACAGAGGATGAATTTAAATGTATAGCACCCATTACAAAACAACAGTTTCAAGAATTGTATACATATTGCGATCCTATATTCCAAGAACGTGGTATCAGAAACGTTACGAAAAAAGATCTTTTAATTTTTTAGATAAGCTGCGACAAGGACTGTCTGACGAATTTCTTAAAGTACTGTTTCAGTATTCCTCTAGACAAGCAGTGAGTTTAGCGATTTCCAAAGTTCGGCAGTCTTTAGTAAACAGATTTGTCCCTGATAATATTGGTTTTCAAGCTATAACTCGAGAAGAGTATATAATGAGACATGTAACACCTTTTGCAAACGAATTATATAATTCTGAGCTAGCTATTCCGAAAGTAATTGCTTATATTGACGGGACTTATTCTTATACTCATAAAAGTAGCAACTTTCGTGTTTTACGACAAACATACTCAATGCAAAAAGGTCGACATCTGATAAAACCTTCTCTTATAGTTGCTCCAGATGGGTATATACTGGCTTTCAAAATATTTTTGATGAACCTTTTTTCTACTAAAACTTCTTGAGAACTAATATACACGATTTACCATCTCTGGTTATGAGATTTGACTATTGGTACATTTCGGGTTCGTCTAGCAAGATCTTATATTCAAGATAAGATGCAGCGTGATGCACAAGAAGAATTTCAATTGGATTCGTTGTTTGATGAACAAGGTTTCATAAGGGTGCGAGTGTTTTCACGATTCCGTAATGCTACAAAACATCAAATATTTATAGCTTACAACATAAGAGATGCAGATAATATAGATGATGAGAGGGAGGCGATTTTTGGTTATTACTGCACCTGTAAGTCAGGCGCACGGACTGTGGGTACATGTGCACATGTAACCAGCGTATTGTGGTATTTAGGATATGCACGACACCAGCCCAATGTTCGTTATCCCTCTTCATCATTATTGAACACAATATTAGATGCCGCTCAGAGACCACCATAGCAGGATCCATATAATGAGTAATATACAATAGTATCATTTACTTTATTACCCCACACATACACACACACATACACACACTGCAGAGAGGGTTTGGAGTCAAAAAATACTACGGGAGTGACGAACCGTGGGGTCCTTATCTCTGCTGTGACACATAAAGATTTTTGTTCACGGAGCTTTTCAAGGTCATTCAAAATTCACAAATAATGTCACCAACTAACAGATTTTGTAAAACCCTACTATGTTTGTTTCAAACATTTTTCAAAAAAATCAATACCTTCCGAGAGTTGACTATTCGGCAGCCCGAATTTTTCATGCTTGACTGTTATAACTCGATAACTGTCCATTATTAAGCTATGTGCCCATTACATCTTTTGTTCAGTAGGTCATAAGCTACAAAATATTTAAAAACCAATTGATTTGACCGGGACAGATTTTCCATATGATTAATGCGGGGTTCTTTCGGTATATGGGGTTCTTCCGAATCCACAAGTTCCACGATTCTACGAGCCTCTTACCAGTCAGAGGAGGATTATTGTGAGCAGAAGAGTTCGAGAGACACTTCTTTAGGAGCCTCTGGCTCCACCGAATTAGCATTGCTTAAAAACGCATCGTCGCTATTGTCGCCCACAGGACCAAGGCGAAAAACTAAAATTATGATGACCACTGCGAAATCTTCGGACTATGATAATGACTTATGGAATATTGAATTTAATGATATGGTACGGGCAGGACGGGCTCGCAGGCGTAGCGAAGCCAGTCGTCCTAGGGGAAGGACACCCCGAATAAGAAACCAACCCGCAAATACTACTATAACTATGCAATACGATAAAAGTAAAAACTTACCGTCGCAGGTGGGTCGGATTTCCCCCAGCGGCAGGCGTTTGAGCCCTATGGTCCCTGAGGCTCATCTGTCTTCACCCAGCGTAGAGCCCACCCCTTTGTCGCCGACGGGCAAGGAGTATGAAATAACTACCGTCGAGAATTATAGTGAGAGTGATAAGGATCCTTTCGACCTGACTTCTCCTCCTCATACATTTGTGAATTGCCAGCCGTCTCTGGATAAAGACACCACTATTCCTAGGAGCTCTAAAAGGAAAGCCAAGGCGTCTCCCATTGTTATTACACCGAGCAATGATGAGAGGAGTGGAAGTTCCAAGGATTGTGAGGTTGCTGCAACTCCTAAAGGAAAGCGTAAATCAAGGAGAAAACAAGTGCAACTTACGTCGTCTAATGAGTCCCTGCTGGAGAAATCGGCTGATATGGATGATGGATCAGAATCTGAGGCGCAAATGAACGAAAGTAAAACGTCTAAGAAAAGGAAAAGCAAGTCCAACGTTAAAATAGTGATTTCATCCGACGAAGATGAGGCTGAAAAGTATTTTGCTCCCCAGGATTTAAGAATAATGGGTGCTACAAATGTGGGCTCACTTGGCCTTGATTGCCTGGCGAGTATCGAGCGCATGCGTGCTAAAAGTTCCTACTTTTAGGACGCATGCGCTACTTGGAACATCCAAGGTGGAGTGAGCGGCAAAATGAGGAAAGAGTTGGAGAGAGCCAAAGAAGTTATGAACACATTAATTTATAAATCTGAGGCTATAGGTGATCCTACCTTCCACAAGCTTCGGAATAAAGAAATTACTGAACAATTGGAAAAGTATAAAAGAGAAGAAACATTAAGAAATAGAGAGATAGAGGATCTACGTGGAATGGTTGAAGACTTAAAGAAAGAAGTGATTGAATTAAGAGGAAGGCTGGATGATGCCGAAGAAGAGGAAAGAAAGGCAAAAGCTAGCAAGAGAATAACGGAATGGAAACTGAGGAAACTAAATACTAAGGATGGAGAAGGACTTTCAGGACCCAGCGAAATGGAAGATAAGGGAACTGAAACGGAAGAAACAATGTTTAACCTACCTGTAGATGGAAAACCGCGAGAGAAGCATTCGGTGCTAAGATGTAATAGTAAAGATACCGGATGGTCCTTGAGTGCCCCTGAAAAACCTGAAAAAGAAGAGAAAAACAATATTAATGTGGTCCAAATTAATAAACAAATTAGGGATCTGATTAGGAAAAGGGCTGAAATAAGGAAATCAGGAAGAAGGGGAGCTGAGGTAATAACGGGAAGGAATGGAGACCTGGAGGATAATCAATATCCCCCTCTTCCTCGTCGTAAGCCCAGAGAGAAACCAAGTATAATTTCCAATATCCGGATTGTACCCTCGGACCCATCTAGAAATTCGGGAACTCCTAGAGATCCAAGTATACGCAATAGAGGGCGTAACAACCAAGCTGAAACTGGTGAAAGTGGGAAGGAGCTCCAAGGGAAAAAGAAATGGGCAAACGGAAGTGGACATCAAGAGGAAAAAAGCACACCACATAGAATGGAAAACAATAGGAAAAGAGAAGAGATTACTAGTAACAAGGAAGATACTAACATTAGGAACAGACTCGACCGCAGACCTCCAAAGTCAGCTGCGGTACTTGTTACTAGCCAGAGGGAAGGATTTACCTACGCGGATATGCTGAAGACTGCTAGGGAAAAAATATCCCTAGATGATCTTGAAATCAAAATGACCAAGATAAGAAGAGCTGCTAATGGTGGCATGATAATCGTGGTCCTATGGAAAAACGAACATGAATGTGCGGATGCACTTGCTGATAAATTAAAAGATGTCCTAAAGGATCAGGCAAAAGTGGTAAGGCCTATGATCAGAGGAGAAATCCGATTAATTGGCATGGATGATTCGGTGACGAAGGAGGAAGTTTGTCAGGTCATAGTTCAAACTGGCGGCTGTAAAGAAGAAGATATAAAAATTGGCCCTATTAGGCAAATGAATAACGGTCTTTTTACAGTCTGGGCCCAGTGCCCGTTAAGCGCCGCAATTAAAATCTCTAACCCGAGGAAGGTTAGAATTGGCTGGTCCATAGTGCGAGTGGACTTACTGGAGAGCAAACCGGTCCAGTGCTATAAGTGCTGGAGGTACGGGCATGTGAGACTCACCTGCAACTCGAGAGAAGACTATAGTGGCCTCTGTTTTAAATGTGGTGAAGCGGGGCATCAGACACGAAACTGTAACCGTCCTCCTTCCTGTAAGGTTTGTGCTTCCGATGGAAAGGACTGCAATCATAGAATGGGTTCATACTTATGTACAGCGGAACATAGAGTTAATAGAATAAGAACTAACTTTAGAACAATAAATCCGACTGACCCTAGGAGGGAAACATTGTCTATGGAAACCAATGAAAATTAAATTCCTCCAAGCCAATGTAAATGTGAGCAAACCTTCATTGGATCTTCTGGTTCACCATGCGCGGGAGACTGAAGTAGGTATAGTACTAGTTTCTGAACCTAATTATATCCTGACTACGTTCAATTGATATGCCAGCAAGGATGGTAAGGCAGCAATTTTTGTTGATCCATTTCATCTAAGATCTAAATGCGAGGTAGCCAGAATTGGTTCACGCTTTATAGCTTTGTTTTATGGTCCCTATTTGGTGATTTCCATTTACGTGCCTCCCAGTATAGATTTAAGGGAGTTTAACGACCTTTTGGATGAACTTTCGGAGGTACTGTCTTATCGTGTAAGTAAGATTATCCTTGGAGGAAATTTCAACTCTAAGGCCAGCCTATGGGGGTCCAACTCTACTGACGGAAGAGGCTTTTTGCTATCCAGGTGGCGCGGCAGAAAGGGACCTTAGGATTGCTAATATTGGTGAAAAGCCAACTTGTATACGCCCTCAGGGCTCATCCATTGTCGATCTGACCTGGATTTCATCGGATCTGACTCAACTAGTGAGAGATTGGAGAGTGGAAGAGGAAGTGGAATCCTTGTCAGATTACCTATACATCTCATTTGATATCAATATCGGCAAATCATCGGTGCCCCCGGATAGAATGCTTCCTCGCAAATGGAACTGTAAGAGGTTTGACGAAGACCTCTTCTCGGCGGTGCTGGTTTGGAGAGGCCTGGGACCAGCAGCAAATAAACTAAACAACGTAGACGCAATGGTAAAATGGCTGGACGATACAATGGAGGAGGCCTGCGATGCGGCGGCTGAGAAAGTTGGACCTCGAAAACCGCGTAAATATGCCTATTGGTGGCAGGATTCGGCAGCCATTTTAAGACGAGAATGCATCAAGGCGAGGCGAGTATGGCAAAGATCTAAGAAAAAGCAAAGATCACGAACTAGGATTAACGAGATAGGTTTAGTTTATAAGTCAAAGCGTAAGGAACTCCGCAACGAGATAAACAGACTAAAGTCTCTTGCTTGGCAGGAACTACTGGATTCCATCGATGAAGACCCGTGGGGACTGCCGTATAAGATCGTCCTAAAGAAATTAAAAGCTCCCTCTTTTGGTATAATTGAACTGCTAGAGAGAGATCTTGTAGACCAATTGTAGGACTCTTTATTTCCTGGAAACTTGGATCCCGATCCAATAGAGGATTGGTCAAACTTTATATGGTCAGATGTGGGATATTGACATAGGTGAAGTCAACAAGGTGGTTAGAAAGATCTCTCCCTCGCCATCCAAGGCCCCCGGGCCTAATGGGTTTCGGCGACTAGTCTGGAGGCATGTTACCGATGAGTTCCTGGAATGGATAAGATATATATTTAGTCTCTGTTTAAGGTTAGGTAATTTTCCGGATCTATGGAAATGTGCGAATTTAGTTCTGATTCCCAAAGGCGGCTTTCAGATTGAAAATCATGCGGAACTTCCAAAGGCAAGACCTATCTGCCTAATTAACGAAATTGCCAAGGCTTTTGAGCGAATTTTAGCGAACCGAATCTACCTATGGCAAACGGAACATTCGGAATCCGAATTTTCGGAAAACCAATACGGTTTTAGGAAATATCGTTCCACTTGTGATGCTATTACAAAACTAAGGACATTACACTTAACGCAGTTCTAAATAACGTATACGCGATAGTGGTAGGGTTAGACATTAAATATGCGTTTAATAGCATTCCCTGGCGAATTATACGTAAAGCGCTGAAAAGGAAAAGTTTCCCTCCCTATATCAGGAGAATCATGGACTCATATCTATCAAAAAGAATCATTCAATTTGTTGATAAGAATGGCAAAATCCGGAAAAAACCTATGGAGGCTGGTGTTCCCCAGGGTTCGGTTCTTGGCCCAGTTTTATGGAACATCGCGTTTGACAGAGTCCTTGCGGAGGAGGAGGAGCACTGCAACGTGCTATGTTATGCTGATGATACCCTTGTTGTGGTAACGGGTAAGGACATTGAGCACACCCATCTAAGAGCATGCGTGTTTGTCACCAGGGTGGTGAATTATATTCACAATCTAGAGTTAAAAGTAGCAGCCAATAAGACCGAGGCAATTCTCTTTCATCCAAAAGGAATACATAACTTACCTGCTGGCGTGACTGTGGGCGATACGTTGGTAACTTTTCAGCCTAGTATTAAGTACTTAGGTATAATGGTGGACCGTGGATGGACTTTTAACGAACATATGAGGTTCATTAAAATGAAAGTTAGTACGGTAGTTCGCGCTTTAAATAGACTTATGCCTAACCTAAGAGGCCCAAATGAAAGGAGACGCAGACTTTATGCTAACGTTGTCATGTCCGTTGTTTTATATGGCGCCCCGGTGTGGGGCGATACCTTAAATTCAAGTAGGATGATGAGAGGTTTGAGTCTACAACGCTCGGTTGCACAACGAATAATTTCCGCATACAGAACAATCTCGGGGGACGCGGCATCTTTGCTTGCAAGACTTCCCCCTTTACGTTTTGTTGCTCCTATGCGGAAGCGCTTTTACGACCGTATGAAAGAGCATAGAGAGAACGGCACCCTAGAGAGAAACACCAAGAACGTAGTTAGAGAAGAGGAGACTGCGAGAATGCTCGAGGAGTGGAGGAGGTACTTAGAAAGGCCAAACTTCCCGGGTGAGTATACCAAGTTGGTGCTGGTTCCGAGGTTGGAGGTTTGGATGTCGCGAACGTTCGGAAGTATGAATTTTCATATGACACAGGTTATGACGGGTCATGGTTGCTTTTCGAAATTCTTATATAGAATTGGCAAGAGAAATCACACAAGCTGTGATTTCTGCGGAGAAGATATCGATGACGTTCGGCATACCCTGAGAGAGTCCTGCTTGGGATCCGGAAAGGATTAGATTGAAGCGTGCACTCGGGTTAAGCAGAGACTTCGTTCTAGGTGACGTGGTAGAGGCGATTCTGGAAACAGAAGAGAAGTGATTATCCTTTTCAGCTTTTGTCGAAAAGGTAATGCGCGATAAGGAAGATGAGGAAAGGCGCCGAAAAATATCAAGGCGCAACCGTCTTCCTTCAGAGGAACTCGACTCAGACTGGTAACATATATGTCATATAAGGTTATTCCACACGCACTGGATGGCCATGAGAAATATTTTGTTCATTTGTATTCATTTAATTTAATCTTCATTTCATTTATTTATTGATTCATTTTTACTCTATACATCAATAATTATTGCATGTGGATGACTATCTGGTGCTGGGGGAGATCGATACCTGTGGGCAGCCTTTTATCAATAGTGTTCTAAATTGGATAACGGGTGGTAGGGCTGTCGTTCACTGGCGTCTGTTTTATCCACCGGGATGACAGTTGGAGATAGCTTTCTCCGGGTCCTTGTTGAGAGCTCTTTATTATGTTACTGTAATATTGAAGGCTCTCAATCAATAATTAACGGGGGGGAGCGGGTAACATTATTTACTTTATTTTATTTATTTACTTATTTAAACCAAATCTATTAAAATTGAAATTTACTTATTTTGATTCGGATTTAATATATTTATATTTTATTTTATATATACATGCAAACGGGGTATAAGTAATTATCACAGGGGATCCAGGGTGGGCTTGAAATAATTTAAGTCCACATCTAGGGTTAGATCTACATATATATATATGTACATATACATATACACATTTTATATACATTCACATATACACTACACAATTAATTTACCCGGGGAAGTAAGGAGGGCGGTTGGGTAGGGCTGGAGCCAAAGGGGGGGAAAGGGAAAAGGGGAAGGACCTAAGAGGAGGTTATCGCTGATAACGTAGGGGGTGTTCAAGGGCTGTCGAGATGTTTGATTGTTCATACGCAAGTAGGTCTCAGACTTCTCGACATTTGCGGTCCATTTGTGATCGCGACAAGGGGGAGTTTTTAGTAGGTGCAAGTTCCACACTACCTGACCACACCGGGTGGTCAGGTGTGCATAATGCATTTTCTCCTCCTATCGCAAAAAAAAGGTTAGGTTGGGGGTCGCTCTTGGGGCGTTCTAAGACTAAGTCCACTGACAGTTGAGTGCTCCGAAATTGTGGAGTAACTCCGGTTTAGAGTGCGTTAAACCGAAAATAAAGTGTGCCGAAACGTGTTTCGAGTGTTTGCGCGTCGAATAAGACAATAATATTTTTTGCTCCGATTTCTAGTTATTAATTATAAGGCTGAAATGAATCCGGTAATGAGCTGTGCGCGTAATAGCGGACATAGGAAGCCTTGTCAGCATAGCGGTGATGTGGCAAAATCAGTGAACAATATACTATGCGCCCCGGAGCGACCCCCAGAGTTTGTGATTGTCTGTATTTTTATGGTAGTATTGTTTTGTATCGCTGTGATCTTTGGTTGAAGTTAGTTTATTAACATTAGTGTGATGTGCATAAAATGCAAGATGTCGGAGAATCTACAGAGCCACGTTCATGCCGTGTGACGTCACGTCAGCATGAAATGGCCGGCCGGCCCTCGGCTCGAGAAGATGTCTCGCAACCTTGCCTCCTGTTGGTTTCAATAATTTGCAGAATAGAAACTTCAACCTCCTAGTTGAATTAATTAGACCGAGGTAAGTGGATAAGCGGAGCAGTTTGTATTGACTGCTTACGCTGGACGCATTACTTATGGATTGATTATACTTTTACTTTTATTTTTATTCTTTATCTTTAAATTTCAAATAAAATGAATGCAGAGGAGAAGTCTAGTGACTGTGAGGTCTGCTTTATAATAGAAGTAATGTGTAGTATTTAGCACTCAATATCTTATATTAAATTTTGAAGTGAATTATCTTTTGACACAAGTAAAGCAGTTTGAGGTAGTCTGTTTACTTGACTACCTGCTGAGTATTGTCTGAAGAACAAGTATTTGAGAAATTAATTTGATTTAACTCGGTTAATTTATTAATGATTATTGAGGACGGATATGCTATGAATTACGTATATAATATATTATGTTTTGGATAATTATAATCATATAACAGTGATAAACTATGGTTTTATGCCATACACTTTATGGAGGCATGTGGCCTCATCTGATTGGCTGATGCCCTCAGTGGCATTCAGATTATGGAATCACCATCTATACTTGGCTTCGCCATGTTGGTCAGCCATATTGAATATCCTCATAAATGACAGGTACCGTGTATTGTGTGCTCGGTGCACTGGCGGAGTTTCTGAGTTTATTATTAATATTGGGGAAGAGAAAAATACAGGATAAGATAGACGAGCTGGCCTGTATGTGATAATTAAGAAGGCCACATTGCTGGAAGCGGTTATTGTGTTAAACGTGGGAGGAGAGGTTGGCTGTAAGCCCTGGTTGTATCTAAATGTATTGCTGAAAAAGGTCATAATAATAATAATGGTAATGTTAAATATTAATTGTCTGTTCTTCCCCTCAGAAACGGGATGCGTGTCTGAGATGTTCCAGTTCGCATCTGAAGATCCTAGGTAATTGGTAACATGTGGGAGAGACTGCGTTGATAGTGCTAATTAAATGACGCTGAATTACATATATGTAGGTATGTCATTTGGGAGCGTTTATTTATTGCTGTACTGGTTTTAGTTTTAGTATGAGTACAGCAGATTAATAATCAGCGTAGTAATAACACTTGAAATCTACGTTGATACTGTCGAGGCTTTCTTAGTATTGATGTACGAGTGATAACTGTTTCTACTGTGTTGTTGATACGTATTGTGTTCTCAGGAATGTTGCGCTGGGATGTATAAACCCTAAATTATATGGATTGCATCGTCAACGTCCGGAAGCTGCTTCCCTTCATCAAGGGAAGTTGCCGAAAGGAACTTTGGATATGTGCATCGAGTCTTGAGATATTGCTAGTGCTGAAATCGAATACAATAGTATGAGAAAGAAATGTCAGGGAACTGGCGATGCGTTGTGTATTGTTATGCTTAAATCTGATAAGAAGTATCTCTGACTTTATGGAATTATTCCTCGGAATGGAGTGTCGTTGATAAACTGAAATCGTTTCATTTCTCGAAAGGAATTTACAAAAGTTGTAAAGTCAAACAAAGGTCTCTATTTATGAATGTGAAGAACTAGCTGATTGCTAGGAAGGTGACTGTTGATGTTATTCTTAACTAGAATTCTTAAAAAGGCTGAGTTTGTTTTCATGAGAACTGTTCAACTGGAATGGCATTTTTAAGTAATGGAGGCGATATGTTTAATTAGACTTTAATGCAGTACTATTGTAATAAAAAGATAAGATACTTAGTTTGACTAAATGAGATTAGTAAGATAAGCGCACGCGTATTGGTGATATTGGGAGTTGGAGTCGTCATAATAATTATGATTTTGAATTCTAATTTTAATTTAAATTAATTAAATTGATTTAACTTAATTCAATATAAGTAAATATTTTAAGTAGTTGACAGAATGCTGGGTTCGGGCTCTGAACCCAGCTTAAGGATGAAAAAGATGAGCGCACGCGTATTGGTGATATTGGGAGTTGGAGTCGTCATAATAATTATGATTTTGAATTCTAATTTTAATTTAAATTAATTAAATTGATTTAACTTAATTCAATATAAGTAAATATTTTAAGTAGTTGACAGAATGCTGGGTTCGGGCTCTGAACCCAGCTTAAGGATGAAAAAGATGAGCGCACGCGTATTGGTGATATTGGGAGTTGGAGTCGTCATAATAATTATGATTTTGAATTCTAATTTTAATTTAAATTAATTAAATTGATTTAACTTAATTCAATATAAGTAAATATTTTAAGTAGTTGACAGAATGCTGGGTTCGGGCTCTGAACCCAGCTTAAGGATGAAAAAGATGAGCGCACGCGTATTGGTGATATTGGGAGTTGGAGTCGTCATAATAATTATGATTTTGAATTCTAATTTTAATTTAAATTAATTAAATTGATTTAACTTAATTCAATATAAGTAAATATTTTAAGTAGTTGACAGAATGCTGGGTTTGGGCTCTGAACCCAGCTTAAGGATGAAAAAAAGGAAATTTTGATTCTGGCTAGAAGCGCATGGATTGTTGTCGTAAATGAATTATTGTATTGCATTGTACTGTATTATTATGGAGTGATCGATGTTAACAATGATGACAGGATAATATGATTTGAATGTTTGAATGATGACGAGCGGAAAATGCGAATGTTCGATTTCCGCTCGATTAATGGTGACAGTATCTACGAGCGGGAATAAGTATAAGTAATCATAATGACTAATTGAGAATTGTGTGATGTAATGAATACGTGTTTGAAGGAAATGTTAGAGATTGAATCTACAAATAAATTCTAAATCTGAGATTATTAGAATTACGAGGAGACTTAAATTGTCCAGTAATGAGAATCGTACATGGAATCGTCAGAAGTTGAAATCTATTATAGGTAGTTTGAATTTTGATTTTAATTGATGTAGTATGGATTTCAGAATACTTTGGAGTCTCTGACATTAACTGAATTATGAAGAGGTAGAATTAACTATTGATAGGATTTTATAAAGGAGAGTTTGTATGACAATGAGGAGGATATGATGTAATATATTGATTTGAGTAAATGAGCAAACGATATGGTGAATTTATCACAAATAACTAAATCTAAATTCGGATTTCTAATGAATGCAGTCCTTAAATATTTTGTAATTCATGAGAGTAACTGAATTTTAAGGAGATAAAATTAGTGATGAGAGTTGTATAAGGGAGGGTCTGTGTTACTATACAACAATAGAAAGAATCTGATTAGCAATAAACTTTAATTTGAGCAAAGATATGGCAATTATAATGACTAATTGAGAACTGTGTATAATAATGAATACGTATTTGATGGGATTGTTAGAGACTGAAACTTATTATTAATAACTTCTAAATTTGATCTCTAAATAATTGTTTAAACTGCACAAACTCTTGATTATTGCAAACTCTGAGATTTTTAGAACTTTGAGGAGACTGAAACTTCTAGCAAGACTGATAGCGTCTCGATGCCTTGCAATTGAGAGGTGTGTCTCTGTATTGTGAGATGAGTGGTTTGTCGCTCCCTTCTGGCTGGAATTATAATTCTGGCATCTGTAAATAAAAAATAGAAGATAATAGCTGCAAAATTGTTAATTATTTATAGTTAATTATTAAGTAATTATTAATTATTAGCAATAGGAAAGGAATAGTTTAGTATTTATGATGAGGAAATGGCGTTGATTTAGACTCGAATATCTAATGTTATTATTGCGAATCTGTTGTTGTCATGCGTATGCAAAATGAAGAGGATTAATTAGAAAAGAAAATGCGATACACAGTCTTAGCGACAGGCATGAGTGGAGTGGCGTGGTATTATAACATTGAGGCATATATATACATTTATAGCTAATACTGTGTTAACAAAGCATATGGTTTATTCGAGCATCGTGCAGGAGCGCTAGGAGTTAAAATGAAATGGTTATTGTAAATAAAGTACAAATACGAACCTTGAATCTTAAATTATACATGTTGCCGTGCTGAGGACACATCGAGGGATGCTGAGGTATCGCCGACCTCTACAGCTAACGGTACGTACGTAGGAAATTGATTATTTATTGTTCAAACTAGCTTTAAATGCGACCCTGAAAACCAAAAAAGGGCGATACCTGCAAAAAAAGGTTATTGTTAGACATACGTTATAGGTTAAAATCGAATCTTGTACACTGAACAGAGTTATGATAACATCCAAGTAAGATAGTATTTCTACTAAGAGTTCTCGGATTAATGTTGTGATCGTATTGGTGTCCGTGCTGAGAGGACAGACTTTAACTTTACTTCATCACTCTTATCATTTATAACAACTCGAGCACCTCGAAATTTGTGGTTGATCCTCGTGCGCCACGGATAAAATTTTAGTAGAAGGGAAAGTGACTATGACGGCGGGCTTCCACTAGGGGAAGTCATTAGTAACTGGGAAAGTCTAGAACTCGTATTATATAGATCGGAAACTTACTTTGATGTTATATGCGAACTCGGGGAGATGAATGAAGTATCTCCCAGAATTGGGGATTCTTCTCCAAAATTTGGGGAATTTTTAGGTCCCAGAATTATAGACTAAACTAAATTGAAAGTTTGGTTAACTAAATATCTAGAATAAGTATAAATAAAATTATGAATAGTAAGTTAAACGATATTGACGTACCAGACCAGGGGAAATCGGAATCCCCAGGTCTCGGCGAGAGAAGGGTTCTGGTCCCTGACCCTCTCCCGTCGTCATCATACGCAAGGCCGTATGAAACAGCGATAGTTAATTCCTTGGCTACCGATCAGGAATTAATGAAGAATAATGGCGGGTCGGCGTCGAAGATCTTAACTGCGGAGGGTTGGAACCCTGAAGAGGAATTTATTAAAGTCTTAAATAAAATAACGACCCTAGAAAACAATTTACCTTTGAATTGCAGGAAGAGAGTGCAACTCGTGGTTGAAGGTATCACTGATTATACTAGGGAGCTCTTTGTAAAAATGACCAAATTAGAACGTGCCCGCAGATATCTTTGGGCCAAGGTGGACAGTCAGAGGGGTCAAATACATGTACTACAATCAGAATTGATGGACCGGCAGGTGAAACTAGATACGCTCAGATCTTTTCTGATTGGCCATGGGTCCCATGATGGCGGACAGCAGGAGAAATGTGGAGTCCATGTCACTGGATTCTCTGATGCGATTCGTGGAGATGATATGGTTGATGAGGAACCGGATTCCGACTTGTCCTATGTGATCGGTCCATCATCTGTTCAGTCTAAAGAGGAGCATATAACTGATCAAGATACTTTAATGTATGAAATAAATCGAATACAGGAGTCGATCGACCTTACGCAGGGAAAAATCATGGAGAAATCTGTAGATCTTTTAAAGCTGGACGTTGCCGCCGAAGCAGCTCTCTCCAGTCTCGTCCCGTTGGAAGATCTCAAAGGAGACTGGGAGGATGTTGATCGGGCAGGACGGGCTCGCAGGTGTAGAGAAACCAGCCGTCCTAAGGGAAGGTCACCCCGAATAAGAAACCAAATTCAACTGGCTACGAACATGGAAAAAACAACGGATAAAGGAAACAACTTACCGCCACAAGGGTTTCGGAGCCCTAGTGACAGGCCTGTGGGGTCTACGGTTCCTGGAACCCACCGGTCTTCATCGAGCGCAGGGCCTTCTTCATCGTTGTCGACGGCCGTAGAGATTAAAGCTGCTACCGCCGCGGATTGTGAAGAGGATCCAAGAGATCCGCTGGATCTCGCATTTATGGATTGTTTGACTTCACCAACAGGGAAAGAAGGACTATCCCAAAAAGAAGCGAGCAGTAAGGTTGCTGCGATGACTCCTTTAACTAGTATGTCAACGAGGATTAGAAGCAAGACGAAAAGGAAGGCGCGCGTCTCCCCAGACGCAGTTTCTCCTAACGGAGAGGGCTTACCGGCAGTCACCTTTAAAAAGACAAGGGCTCATAAGAAAAGAGCAGTAATAAATGATACGGAGAAATCCTCGTCGAACTTGCTGTCCTCTGACACCGATCGAAGCTCCGAGAGGGATACTGGGGGAAAGGAGAATGCCCCTAGTAAAAGCCTCAAAGGCAAAACCAGAAAAGAGGATAGTATCTTAATTTCATCGGAGGAGGAGGACGCCGGCGCAGACTTTGCACCCACAGATTTGAGAATCATGGGAGCGATGAACGTCGGCTCCCTTGGATTGGACTGCCTTGCTGATGTCGAGCGCATGCGCGTTAAGAGCAGAAATTTGCAAGGCGGTATAAGTGGTAAGATGCAAAAGGACCTTGAAAGGGCTAAAGAGGTTTTTAACGCATTAATCTTTAAGGCTGAAACGGCAGGAGACCCGGCTTACTTGAGAATCAAAAATAAAGAGCTAACAGCGCAGGTTGAGAAGATGAAATTGGAAGAAATTCTAAGGCAGAGGGAAATGGAGGAAATGAGGAACATGGTTGAGGAGTTAAGAAGGGAAGTCTCGGAATTAAGGGATAAGCTGGATAAGACGGAAGAAGATAGGAGGAAGGCCAGAGCTAGCCAGAGAATAGCGGAATGGAAGGCCAAAAAAGGGAAACAGGAGCTGAAAGAAGAGGAGGAATTAGAAATAACAAACTTCTCTAAGTTAGTTGATAGCATACCATCAATGATTGACTTACCTACAGCTGAAATGTCCCACGGTGTAACCCCGGCAGATGCTGCTGAGCCAGATCTCTATACGAAGATTTAGAGCTACGCTGGATAACGAACCTGAAAAAAAAAGAAAGGAAAAATTAGTTACCGAAGAAGAGAAGGACATACAGAGGCAAATTAGTGAACTTGTCAGGAAGAGGGCGGAAGTAAGAAAGCATAGACGAATGGAGGATAGTGAGACAGGGAGTGGATAAGAACAATTTCAAGGGAAACCCCTGCCCAAGCGACAACCCAGGATTAGACCCAGAATCCTCAGCAACGTGCAAATAGTCCCCCCAGGGACAGATAGAAGTGCGAGTGATAAGGATGGGAAAAGGATGGAAACCCCTGTTGAAGAGGATCCTGGGGTAAAAAATACGGAGAAAGAGAAATGGACCCGGGTTCCCGGAGAGAGGAGGAGCAGATACCTTATGAATAATAGAACGCAGGAGTACCAGCATCAACCCGGAGCTAGAAATAGAGATAAAGACAACGCCAACAGAACTCGAAGACAATCTGAAGCGATCAATAAGAGAGGGGTCAACCCGACTCGCAGGCCGCCAACAACCGCTGCAGTTATGATCACCAAGTATGGTGATAACCCCTCGTATGCGGGTGTCCTTAAGAAGGCTCGTGAGGCTGTTTCGCTAACGGATTTAAAGATAGATCAAACTAGAATTAGGAAGGCAGCCAACGGAGGCACAATTATAGAAGTACTAGGTTCCAAAAATTCTGAAAGGGCTAATGCTCTGGCCGAAAAACTGCGTCAGGTTAGGTTAAGTTGTGACCGGCCAAGCCGATTTATTACTTACTCATACCATTGAAATCTGTGGATTCTCTGTCTATTATACGGTCGCCAGCTGTTTTTACCCTCTAAACAGCAAGGATTGGACTTCAATCGAGCGATATAGGAACTGGGTGGCCGGGAATCTCGAAACTCCTTGCTTTTGACTACCTCTCGCCGGAACAATCACCTCGAATGCGATCTTTTCCAATTTGGGATACCGAGCGCTGCGAAGCCTGAAGACCCTGTTGAAGAGTACACCCCGGGTTCCCGAAGACCGAAATAAGACCACTGAATTGAAGTTTGAAAAAAAGAATATGTTTATTGAATATAAAACTTGTGAATAAATTACGAAATAGTGCCCCGCAATTGGGCCGAAATAACAATTGTTAATGAAAACCGTGACTTGAATTACTATTCGCAATCAACTACTTGAACTATCGACTTTAATCTCCCGACTCTTTCTAGAATCCAGGAAACAGAACTACAACGGATCACGCGCCGTTCGCGGGTCTTAAATTGTACAACGGAATAACGTGTTTTCTCAACTATCGCCTCGCGCTGACTGACCTCGAGTCTCGCTGCCGGATCTCGCACATCGCTTCATTCCCCACTCTCGCACATGCGCACTTCGATTGCGCACCGATGTTCGCGCCGCTCGTCGCGCCGCTTCGCGCGCCATGCTTTCCACACACCGGGTGTCTCACATGTATCCATTCCTTATAAAACTAATTCTTTCTCTTTTTACAGATATCCTTGGACTCCAACGCCGCTACAGGTAAGTATTTACAGGTAACTCTGCGCAAGCGAATAATAATAAAATCGGAACATGTATATACACCTTAATCTAGTTATAATTCCCTATACTAGGTACTCGAATTAAATCTGTCGTCTCATTAGTGCGTATGAATCGAACTTAATAATTTCTTTAATTGTTTCAGGTATCCATTTTCAACTAGAGTATTATACAAACAAAATCTCCACGAACTAAATAAATTCTTTCAGAGCAAACGCTTTAAATCAAATAGCTCAAATCGATCTACCGCTCTGCGGTTACTAACGCGTTATTAATATTAACTCAAATCAATCTACCGTTTTCCGGCTTCTAATACGTTGTCGAATAACTATTAATATTTTTAATATCTTATTTCTAATAATACGCGCTTCTTAAATCTATTCTTAATTTCTACTGCTGCTCTGGACTCAGACGGCCCTCCGTCGATGCTCCAAAACGCCTCTCAGATCGTCCTTTCTGCACAGGCTGCTTCCGCGTTTCCTTGGATTCCACCCTGTGTTGTTCTCCTCGCTTTTCCAGGTACCCCCGCGTATCTCCTCAACGGGGACCGATCCAGCAGATCGCAAACCCCCTTCTAAAGTTTTCTCGAAATTCGGTACGTATTTCGAGAGAACTTTCCCAAAAACCGGGCTGTGGTTGGTGCGATCTGGTGTGGTCTGGTTCTTGTTGTCAGCCTCATCTTCGCTGGATACGATTTTTATTGCCTTCCTTTTTTTCCTCACCGGTGAGTGATTTTCCGATTGCATGTTGTAACTTTCATGCTTCGAGCTGCTTCCCACTGGGCTTCCGATATGGTCCCCTTTTTGTTGATTAGGCACCACGTTTTCTTTTTGCTGGTATTCCTCGAACCATTTTTCGTTTTCGAGGTCCAATGTCTGCTGCTGGTCCCATTGGTTTTTATTTTCCAACATCCTTGTCTCGAACGCTTTTCCGCCTGGGTCTACGAATTTTCCCACCAAGTGTTGTGTCACTCTTGGTTTAGCCTGGACGTCTTTCGCCTGTTTCTTTCGTACGCTGCTTCCGGTTTCTTCCGAATTATCCGGGTCTGCTGATTCCCTCCTTTGGCTGATGTCCCTCTCGTTC